TTTTAGCCTACTGTTGCCACCTCTACGTCAGCAGTAGTTCAGCCATAAATACCGGTCGAAATGGATCAGGATTTCAGATCTTCACCATGATCGGTAAACTTGCCATTTCCCTGCTGCTGGTGGCTGTCGTCGGTGAGTCAATATTCGCACTCGAATTTATGATTGTATGTGTATATAAGTATGTATAGATATATATATAGTATTTATTGTGTATGGATATATATATTAACACATAAATATGTATATGTGTGTTTCATATATATGATTGCACACACACACAGACATTTATATATGTATATGTGCATATATATGTATATGTGTATATATGTACTCATACATACAGCATATATATGTATGTATACAGTATATCTATATATATCTATATATATTTATGTATACATATTGTGTTTGCAGTGCATGCAATTGGGTATAAGTAGAGTTATAATATCTCCAAGTAGTCTTCCATCAACTCCTATAATTCCGTTCTGATAGTCCAGTCCCCAAGTACTCACAGTGCCTGTATCCTCAGCCGCGAAGGAGCTGAGGTGCCTGCCCGGATCCTTCGAGTGCAATGACGGAAATTGCATCCCAGATCGCTACGTGTGCGATGGAATGGCCGACTGCATGGGAGGCGAGGATGAAGTCGACTGTTGTGAGTAAAAAAAAAAAGAAACAAAAAAACCGGGCAAATCTTCTGTATGCTTCTCATGAGAAACTTACGAGAGTTTCTTATGAGAAATCTACCATTATCCTATGATTGAATTACATGTTAATCACATGCTTGCGTTTGTAATTCCATACATATCAAACGCATAAAAAAATATCTGCCCATCTTACAGCCGACTGCCCTGAGGGATACCTTCATTGCATAAGCGGGGACGTCTGTCTCCCTGAACACTGGGTCTGCGACGGATACTATGACTGCCCTGGCGGCGAAGACGAGGCCAACTGCAGTAAGGATCTTTTAGGATTTTTAGATCACAAACATCCCAACTTTGTATGAATGTCCAAAAAAAAGAAACCTGTGTGTAGTCTCAGGTTCCATCGTCACTGCTACTGCTAATTAGTTCCTTAGATTAAAAGCAGAGATAGGAATAGAACTTGTCTGTAACCATAATTCATGAAAAAAAAAAAAAAAACATGAGTACAGATACCCTCCCTCTCATTGCAGCCACCACTAGCATGCCTGGCTGCGACGAAGGATACTACGAGTGCAACGGAGGCGGCTGCATCCACAACAGGTTCCGTTGTGACAGTTTCTATGACTGCCCTTCCGGAGATGACGAGAGTGCCTGCAGTGAGTATGGCTAAACAACCTCTTCTGATCTCATATGGCCTAGCTGTTTGGCCTGTCACTTCCCCTTTCCTTCCAATAAGTCATGCACTTAGCCTAATGTCATGTATCGTTACCTTATCAATCAGCTACTAGCCTGTATCGGATGCTATTGACATTATCATTCTATTTCTTAATGAATTTATCTTATCTTTTATAGTATTTTTTCTCTTAATCATTTATCTATTATTTATCTGTTTCCTTATTCATTTATTTATTCATCTATTTGTCTATCAGTTAATTAATTTCTTCATTGAATTCTTATTTACTTATACATTAATTCATTTCATATAATTCATCCATTGATCTATCTTATACCATTCATTCATTTATTAACCTATCTCCATATTCCTCTTATTCATCTATCCATCTCCTCATTCATTTATCTATCTCTTTATATTTATCATCTATTCATCTCTTTATCTATCTACCTATCTCCTTATTTTTTCTTATTTATCCATCTATCTCTTTAATCTATTCTATTTCTTCCATCCTTCCTACTATCCATCCCTTTCTCCATTCCTTCACCCATTCATCCATCTATCGCGACCGACAGCTGAGTGCAGCGCCGGCTTCCACTGCAAGGAAGACATCTGCATTCCCGAATATTATCTCTGCGACGAATTTGAAGACTGTCACCGCGGAGAAGATGAGATTGTGTGCGGTGAGTTTGTGGCGAAGGATCATGTTGATGTTCTGTGTGGCATATCTATTAGATCATTTATGTATCGGCTCGTTTATCTGTCTATTTGTATGTATGTATATTATGTATATAAGTGTATATATATGTCTATATATGTCTATATATATATATATATATATATATATATATATATATATATATATATATATATATATATATATGTCATATATGTATGTATGTGTATGTGTACACATATATGTATGAAAATATACATATATGTAAATGTATACATATATATACATGTATATACGCATAAATGCGTATGTATGTATATATACATATATATACATACACATATATATCTGTGTTTGTGTGTGCGTGTGTTTGTTACACACATACACGTACGCACACATATAAATGTGTATATACATATATACATATATATATATATATATATATATATATATATATATATATATATATATATATATATATATATATATATATCTGTATATATACATATATATATATATATGGATATACATATGTATATTCATATATATATATATATATATATATATATATATATATATATATATATATATATATATATATATATATATGAAGGGGGAAAGAGAGGCAGACAGAGACAGAGATAAGAAAAGACAGACTAAATTGCATTAGCTCTTGCAAGTCTGAAAGACTGAATGGCTGAGTGGGCGTGTGAGTACAATAACTTAACTCCCGCCCACGCCCTCGCTCTCGCAGACTGCCAGGACACGGACTTCGTCTGCGGCAACGGGCACTGCATCCCCCCCGACTGGCACTGCGACGGTTACTACGACTGCTTCGGCGGCGACGACGAGATGAACTGCGGTGAGAATACCTTTTCGTTTTGTTATTGTGATTCGTTCTTTATTATCGTTATTAGTATCATTTTTTTGTCATGTTCTTTTTCTTCTTTTTCTTCTTTTTTTTTTTGGTTTTGTTTTGTCACTTTTTTTCTCTTTTTTTTTTGTATTTCTATTAAGTTCTCTCAGTTGATTTTTTTCTTCTTCTTGTTATTGGGATCATTAACGTTGAAATCATTAGTATTACTATTATCTTTGTTATCATTTTCCTCCTCTTCTTACTCCCCCACCTCCTTCTCCTCCTCTTCCTCCACCTTCTTCCATCTCCTCCATCTTCTCCTCTTCCTCCACCTCCTCCATCTCCTTCTCTTCCTCCTCCTCCACCTCCATCTTTTCCTCTTCCTCCTCCACCGCCCCCTCCTCCTCCCCCTCCTCCACCTCCACCTCTCCCCTCTCCTCCTCTTCCCCCTCTTCTTCACCCCCTACCCCACTCTCACCCTAACCCCCCCTCTGTCCCTCCACAGGCACCAGTGACGCCCCCTCAGCTTACCAGGGCGAACGCAGGACCCGCACGCGCGCTCAGACCAGCTTCCTCCTCAAGCTGGCCAAGACCAATCGCCGTTAAGGAACCTCTTCTGCTCTAACGTCGTTTCCATCTGGCTTAGAACCGCTACCTTGAACCTTCTTAAAGAGGCAGAGAGAGAAAGATAGAGTATGTGAGAAGTAAAGAGAAAGAGAGTGAGAAAATCTAATTCTAAAGAGAAAAATATATACAAAGAAAGAGAGAAAACCTTTATTTTTATTTTTTTTTTAGTCCATCACACGTTCGGTTCGTCTTTATATTTTCTGTTACTTCGTCTCCACCTCACTGAGTACCGCCACAGTGAACCACTTTGTAACGACGCATCTGAACCATTCCCGAGAACCTGTGGGAATATGTGGTTTCAGATTTCAGGCTCTGTTTTCCCGAAATACGTTTTTCCTTTGTGTTTCATATATATATATATATTTTTTTTTCATTATTATTTATATATTTCCCTTTGTTTTAACTATCTCTTTTCAAAAAGGAAAAATAATAAAATGTATGAATTACAATATATTGTCGTTTCAAGATACCTTATGGAACCTATGACCAAGTTTTCGGACATGTATTAAGAGTAATAATGATGTTCAATTAATCATCCATATTGCTTTTCTTCTGATATCAATTTAACCTTAAAACAACTGATAGAGAAATGGTATTCAGTGTTTCACAATCCATGCTCTCTTTTTTAATCTGCTATAGAACAAACAGACTAACAGATTTATCAAAATCAAAAGACGAAGAAGAAATAACAGCGAATCGAAATAACATTGCCAGGAGAACACTTAGTCTTTCTGTCCTTTCGTGTTCCCTGTCTCCTACATTATGTGTGACAGTTGCAGATTCCCCAGTGTATTCTTTGGAGATCATCATATACGTCTTATGTTTTCGCGTGTAAGCATCCTTGTCTTATGAATGAGATAGAGAAAATCACACACGCGCATACACATATACACACACTCACATATATATGTATATATACATATATACCGCCGACACTGTATATATATTGATTTTCGCGTCAATTGACTGTGTTTTAATATGGGATCTCAGTCATTTAGGACTAGTATAACGTTGGAGCAAGGAATGTTACACAGTGACAAAATATCCCTGGCTATAAGTTGCAAGAGATCGCACTGTTGCTGCAACATGCAAGCCATTTGCTGTATCTCTCAGGAAGCATTTCAAGTTTTAAGATACAGCTAATTCCATGGCTAGCAATAATGGGTTTATACATTTTTAAGAAGTCTAAGAACTCCTGTAGGGCACGGTCGTAATATGAATGAAAATTCAGATCTTGCATATGCGTTTTATATTTATTTTTCAGCAGGTCTGTTACATAACCTAAGGGCATATAAGAAAGAACATATGAAGTGAAAAAAAAACAAGAGAGGTTGGGCGAAAGGAAGGATTTTCGAAGCAAGTCCCGGGAAATCCAGAAGACTCAGTAGGAACCAGGCAAGTCCTTAGTTCTTGCGAAACCTGGCCAGCTTAGCGAGGAGCGAGTTCTGCGCTTGGGTCTTGCGTGGGTCGAGGATCCGTCGGGGCCGCAGCTGCTTCACACTTTCTGTGGTGTTAGGAAGTTAGAAGGTCGACTATTGTACACATGTTGCGTGTTTAAGTTCTATTAAGGCTGCTTCATGGTAGAGGGAAAAAAAGGAGACAGGATTTATCTATACTATACATAAACTCTCCCTTAATATTGTCTCGTTATGACACGTTAATTTTTGCCGAAGATAAATGTTAGCCTTCGTGTCGTCAACGTTAATGAACGAAAATTATCTACGGACTGATATTTGTGTAGACGTATTGTCGCCAGCGTGAAAACGTATCATTCCCAGCACATGACGAGCCAGATATCGTATCCAAAACAAATCCCAAATTAACTGCAGGTAGAACGGAAATTACTGTACAATTCTATTCCGACTTTTACGATTCCCTTAAATTCGCGATTCCCTTAAACTCGCGATTCCCTTAAAATCACGATTCCCTTAAACTCGCGATTCCCTTAAACTCGCGATTCCCTTAAACTTACGAATCCAATAAACTTGCGATTCCCTTAGACTTACGCTTCCCTTAAAATCACGATTCCCCTAAACTTACGAATCCCATAAACTTGCGATTCCCTTAGACTTACGCTTCCCTTAAAATCACGATTCCCCTAAACTTACGATTCCCTTAAACTCACGATTCCCTTAAACTCGCGATTCCCTTAAACTCGCGATTCCCTTAAACTCACGATTCCCTTAAACTCGCGATTCCCTTAAACTCGCGATTCCCTTAAACTCACGATTCCCTTAAACTCGCGATTCCCTTAAACTCGCGATTCCCTTAAACTCGCGATTCCCTTAAACTCGCGATTCCCATAAACTCGCGATTCCCTTAAACTCACGATTCCCTTAAACTTACGAAACCCCTAAACTTACGATTCCCTTAAACTTACGATTCCCTTAAACTTACGATTCCCTTAAACTCATGATTCCCTAAGACTTACGGCTCCCTTAAACTTACGAATTCCCTTAACTTACGGTTCCCTTAAACTTACGGTTCCCTTAAACTCACGATTCCCTTAAACTTACGAATCTCCTACACTTACGATTCCTTAACTTACGATTCCCTTAAACTTACGATTCCCTTAAACTCACGATTCTCTTAAACTTACGATTCCCTTAAACTTACGATTCCCTTAGACTTACGATTCTCTTAACTCACAATTCCCTTAAACTCACGATTCTCTCAACTTACGGTTCCCTTAAACTCGTGATTCCCTTAAACTTACGATTCCCTTAAACTTACGAATCTCCTACACTTACGATTCCCTTAAACTCACGATTCTCTTAAACTTACGATTCCCTTAAACTTACGATTCCCTTAAACTCACGATTCTCTTAAACTTACGATTCCCTTAAACTTACGATTCCCCTAAACTTACGATTCCCTTAGACTTACGATTCCCCTAAATTTACGATTCCCCTAAACTTACGATTCCCTTGGACTTACGATTCCCTTAAACTTACGATTCTCTTAAACTTACGATTCCCTTAAACTTACGATTCCCCTAAACTTACGATTCCCTTAGACTTACGATTCCCTTAAACTTACGATTCCCCTAAACTTACAATTCCCTTAAACTTACTTCAACGTGTATTCCCTTAAACTTACGCTCCCCCTAGACTAACGATTCCCTTAGACTTACCGCAGTTCGCTTCGTCTTCCCCGCCGTGGCAATGGGGCTTCCCGTCGCACACCATGTAGTCGGGGAGGCAGTGTCCGTTTTCGCAAATAAAGTCCGTGTCTCTGCACTCTGTGGGGAGGGTGACGTGGGATGTTAAGATGGTTTTAAAATACGGAAAATGCGGAAAATGCGGAAAAGGTTCAACGAAGATGAGAGCGTAGTTCGGAGGCTGTTCTAAAAGGGTGAAGAAAAGGGGGAGTGATGAAGAAGGTGGAGAACAAGAAGGAAAAGGTGAAGGGGAAGAAGGAGGAGGAGAAGAAGAAGGAGGATGAAATAAAGAAAAAAAGGACAGAAAAAGGTAAGAAAATAAAACTGAAACCGAAAAGGAAGAACAAGAAGAAAAAAAATCCGTCCCACAAAGCTATACCAACGCAACACCACCGTCTCTCACCGCAATCATCAGCCGCCTCGTCCTCTCCGTTGGGACAGTCTTCCCTCTCGTCACACATGTAGATCTCGTAGATGCAGGTGTCGTCGTCGCAGTGGAAGCCGCCGTTGCATGTGGCTGAGTGAGAATTAATGGCAGAGTGAAGATATGGTATTATTCCTTACGCTTTTTGGAATCATTTCGTGACGTAATTCACAAGGGAGTTCTCACTTTTTTTTCAAGGTATCAAGGAGACACTTACTACAGCCGATCTCGTCCTCGGACCCATAGCAGTCCATGTATCCGTCACACACGAACTGCTTTAGGATACAAGGTCCTCCATCAGGACACTGGAAGCTGTCTTCAGGACACGGCGGAAGGTTGACGGCTGCAGGAGCAAGTTATGTCGTTAAGAATTAGAAAAAAATACGATAGTAATAATGATGATGATGATGATAATAATAATAGTAGTAGGTGAAGAAGGAAAA